ATAATAATAAGTGTGCATATTTAAACAGTTAAAGACAAAACAATGCAGCTATACTGTATATCTGACTCCAATATTGTCTGTCTATCACAACAAGACTCCTCAAAATTAGCCCATTAATTATGATGTGGCAATGTGATTTTTTATTTTTATTCCATGTCACCGGACGGGCTCTGTAGGATTCTACTCAGATTCAGGACTATGTGGTGTGTGTGATTCAGGACTAACTGTCAACTGTGTGTGTTTTAATGCCCTCACGGTGGCGCTGTTGCTCATCAACAGAAAACTAATCGTTACTCAAACTCCTTAATTCCTTTATTCCATTCCAGCTTTATTTATAAWGCACTTTAAAAACAACACAGCTGAYCAAAGTGCCGTACACAGTAGCCAGAAACAAACACAAACAAYACACAACCAATACYAGCAKTAACTATAAAAACCAACACTTCAAGCTGAGTTAAAAGCCAGTGAGAAAAAAGTAAGTGTTAAGAGAAGACTTAAAAACRTGAAGAGACTCAGTTTGTAGTGATGAACTGTTGCRCAGTTTTSGGGCAACAACTGAGAATKAGCGGTCACCTCTCAACATCCTCTTTGTCTTCAGGACGACTAACAACTGATCTGCTGACCAGAGAAACAGTGAGGGACATACAGCTGAATCAGACAGACACAGTGGGACATGCAGACATGAAGACAAACAAACAAACAAAATCTGTCCTAAAACGGACTGGAAACCAGTGAGGAGAAGCTAAAACAGGAGTAATATGCTCTGTCTTCCTTTTAGAGAGTGACTGTCTGAGAACAACATTTAGAGCAGTACAGTAATCTAAAGGAATTGTGATAAAAGCATAAATTARCATTTCAAAGTGATGCAAAGAAAGAAAAGGTTTCACTGTGGCTAGCTGTCTCAGATTTAAAAAAAAGTTAGATTTAACCTGTGCATCAGATTTAAGGCTGCTATCCAGCTTTGTGTCACAGCAGGTGTCAAATACTGGTTTAGTGAGGGCCAGAGGCCTATTGCACAAATCTAGGATAAGGGATGAAGCCAGGATT